GCACATTGTCTGTCGAGATTCTACTCTCACCGCATTGTCCATTTCAATCCTTTTTATCACACTGCAGTTCCTCGGTTATTACGAACATCACATATCTGTGCATGTAACACATCCCCTACAGGGCTGATTGCCTTGCTCAGGCTGGCCGGCATGTCATGGTTTTTGCGGTGCACCCTGCATGCCATGGTGTTCCTCGCGGTCGCTTGAGTATGAGGCTGGATGCTGAGGGCACGCCCAGAAGCTGRCAAATACCATTCGGCGTTGAGTAGAGCGGCGGTAGGCTAGCTGCAGGGTGAAAGCTTGGGGGTCAGTTGGTGTAGTGCCTTTGTTACAGCGTGGGGAGCGACCGCCGATACATTGAACTTGTGGCGTATTGTTGTGTTGATTAGAACTGGCGGGTTGAGGGTTCCCTCAGGATCTTAGGAGGCGGAGGTAGGGTGTAAAGGGAGTGGTTGGACTGCGAAGGAGATGGAGCTGCGAGTTGAGAGGTTGCCAGAGGGGGGGGGGGGTTGACGTGGACAGTCTGACTGAAGTTTGACCAAGCGGTTGTTACTTGGCCATCATTGCGAGACCCTCAGGCGCTGGAAGATAACAAGACCCTCTCCTAAGAGTTGAGTTGTCCCCCTCCTGTATCTCGAGAGTATGGAACCCCTCATTCTGTCCTTCTTATTCTCAGTCTAATCCTGTGACGAGAGGAAGGCGGCAGGCGGGATTGCAACCCGTAGGACCGCAGCAAGACTCTGTGGGCAGTCAGCCCACCGATTGCGGGAGCTCTGCCGGAACTCAGGAGGAGTTCTGGAGGCAAGGAATTGACAGGTAACCATTGCTTGTCCCTCTATAGACCCAAAACTATTACCCCTATCTGTATCTCCCATTGCATCACTGACTGAATATATGATGTGCAGCCCTACTTTATTTTTTCGTTTGACTCTCAAGACACTGAACAAGGCTATGTAAAGGAATGTATGTTCAAGTTTCAGTTTCAACTTTATTGATTATATGAAAGCAGACTGTTAAAAGGAATTGCATCTGGGAAAGGGAGGATGGTGGACTGTTTTGCGTAATGGTTAACTGGGTCAATAAGGTTGGGAGGTCCCCATAAGTTTGGGGAGACCCAGTGCTTTGTTTCTTTTGGCTTTGATTGGAGCGTCAGACCCTTCTATAAGCTTAGGGGGTCTGATTGCTCTGGAGGCCGGGGTGTCCCCATAAGTTTGGGGAGACCTAGTGCTATGGTTTTGCATGGAGGGTCAGGTTGTTCTATAAGTTTAGGTGGCCTGACTGCTCTGACTTGCGATCCTATGAAACAGCCACTGAAGCGGACACCGAGRAAGTCCACCGTGAAACCAGTAAAGGTAGCAAATAAGTTGCAAGCAGCGACCACGAAAACCACTACGAAGAAGAAGAAGCAAGAAGGTAATTGGAACAAGACTCCGACATGGTATACACCGAGGAGAGGCACTCCAAAAATAAAAATCGCGGCTAAGAAAGGATCAGTAGGGAAGGCGAAATTCGTAGTCGATAATATGAGGCAGCTCGCTGATTTTCACGCGGACAATCTTAAAAGGCTATGTTGGATGGAGGAGTTGGATTACGGCAACAAGGTGCAAGTCGTTATCAATGTTGCTGAGAAGCGGGCGCAAGAAGCTTACGGAGAGGAGGAAGCGGAGACAAATCAACTGGCGGAATCAACTGCCGATACTATGGGTAATGTCGAAGCAACCAGCGAGGAGAGCGCGGAGGCGTGACTCGTAGACGATGGGCCAAAGCTATGGACTTGGAGTTTCTACTATTGGTTCATCAAGCACCGGAAGCAATCCAAATTTCACCTAGCTGTTGAGAGATTGTATCGCGTTGTTGTAGTACTACTGGGCGTGACGGGAAGAGTCAAGTGGCTGGCAAAGTATACGGCGTCATGGATAAAATTGTATAACGAGTATGGACCGGATTTCTTGGATAAGCGCAAGAGAGTCTACACAATCTCTTCGCCACGATGTAGAGCATCGTACATTGGTCAAACAAGTAGGGACGTGAATGTGAGGTGGAAGGAGCATATAGTAGCAAGTACACGGGATGGGAAGAACACTCACTTGTATCATTGGTGGCGAGTGTTCGGATCCGAATCCTATGTCATGCTACCTGTTGACGAAGAGGCAGCACACAATTTGTTAGAACTTGAACAGTTGTATATACGGAAATGGTCACCTACGCTCAACGTGAGCGGTGTTACCAGGAAATCACGATGGACAAGGAAACCACGGAAAGGGAAAGTTGAACGGGAAAGAGCGTGGAGTAAAAAGCAACGAACCGAGGGAGAAGGTAAAGTGGTCGAAGTTATCAGATTTCGGCTGACTGAGGAAGACGAATGGAGGATCGATGCTCTCAAGGTGCTTGATGACGCGGAACAGAGGAAGATGAGGACACTTCAGCTACACTCAATGGGAGGCAACAGTTGGATCAAAGGGTGGAAGAAAGTGAGGACGACATATGACGCATCTACCGTGGAGATTGGAGGACAAGTAACAAAGCTAGCCAAGTGCAAAGTCGGTATTGAGAAAGGAAGTACCATCAACATCAAATACCTCAGGAAGTGGAGACCGAAGAGCGGACCGGATAAGAAGACACTCATAAAGCTACTGCGGAACCCGAGAAGAGTACAGGACCTAGGAGCAGTCGATACCGATGCATTGTTCCGACTGTACAAAGCGGCAAAAGACTTTCAGCAGAAGTCGACTCGTTCTTACCTGAGGCGGATTATATCTCAGGTGATCAAGGAGAAGACAGGATGGTGTATGGGAGCAGACCTGACAGTGAAGGTTAGATACAACGATCGAGTGAAGTTATCAGAGGTCAGGAAAGTGGTCAACGATAAGATCGAGGGTCTCGGRTTACCGGAGTGCATGGCAAAACGTACAAGAAGTAAAGTGCGGACGGTCTGGTCGAAGAACCAGTTCGTTGCGGATATTCTTCACAACCGACAGGTCTATGCCCGAGCAGTTATGTCCACCTGCACATGTGCMGGTCTCCCCTATCAAAGGATAGGGGAACATGTACGTTTTCGCTTGCATGAGGTACCAGGTGTTCACCCCATGTTAAGCAACGCAAACAATGTACCGAAAGCACAACATCCGAGTCGAACGAAACTGCCCTGCGAGGAGATCGAGGAAGCATTCGGACAATGGAGGAACAGAGGGGACACGATCATGCATATTACGGAGAAAGAAGTCAGGACATGCATGACGGGGAACGAGGAGCGTGGGAGCGATTTTCTGGATGTCGAAGTTGTTAAGGCGACAAAGAAGAGGTTCGAAGGTCTCGTGTTGACGCCTCTAGACAGGAACCAAGGGGAGACATTTGTCATGTGCCCCTACCTCTACTACGAGGCCATGATGGAGAAGTTTGTGATGAATCCAGGGTATGAGTTCGTACAAGTAGAGGAAGATGAAGTCAAGCATGCAGTGCAAGCAGCCTTCAAGGAGGAAGGTCTGACCAAGTTCGCGAGATATGGCAAACGGGGGAGTTTCGGCGCGGCTTACATACAACTGAAGCATAAAGACGTCGAGAGATACCGTCCAATATGCCCGTCGTACTCAGATCCGACTACAAGAACTGGGAAATGTGTTGCGAAAGCCTTGAACCACCTGCTGTTCAAGCTTCCAGCCAGATGGCATTTTAACCTGAGATCCATCTCAGACGTCGTACAGAGCATTGGAAAGTTTAATAGGAGATGTGAAGCCAAGATGAACTCAGTGGTGGAGTTAGCAGTCATGTCCTATGATATTAAGGACATGTTCAGCAAACTGCCACACCGAGACATCTTGGAAGCGGTCAATTGGATCATTGACCACTACATGAGCAAGGGACAGAGCATTATTCGAGTCAACACGCGAGGTCGAGGTTGTTCCTTTGGGAAGACGACAGGCGGAGACCATTAGCGGGAGATGAAACTTGAGGATATCAAGAACTTTGTGCAAGTTGATTTGGAACACACGTACTTTCATGCAACACGAGTACTCCTACGGCAGAGAGGAGGCATCCCGATGGGCAAGAGGACTAGCCCACCGTTAGCGTGCATACTCTGCGCGTACTCGGAATTTAAGTTCCTTAGCAACCTCAGAGGGTTGAGGAACAGAGTGCATGGGATGCGGCTGATGGTTGACGTGAGTCTCATCGTGGACGTGGGAAGGAGACGGTAGAAAAACGTGGAAGAGGACATCAGAGGGAGATTCGAGGGTTGTTACTCAAAGAATCTCACTTTGAAAAGGATAGACAGCGAAGAAGGGACATGGGATTTTCTCGGATTGGAAATGAGAACAAGGCGATCATCCCCATATGTGGGATGCGTGCAGGTATCGAGGAACGAGAAGTCGGTGTGGGAAAATGAAGAGCTGGTATTTAAGAATGGATAGAGCTACCAATCGTGGGGTAGCAAACAAAAAAAAAGTGTCGTGATAGCCAGCTACCTGCACCAGATCGAGACGAACACTACCATTCGATCCGAGATCCCAGGGAGAGTACTGACACTGTGTAGGGAGCTCAGGATGAAGAGCTTCCCTGACGAATTCGTGGAACGCATGATCAAGCGATCCAGCAATGGACGAGGAGAGATATGGGAGCTCACACGTGAGTGGATCTGCAGTTAGGAGTGACATATGTGATCGGTAGTGGTAGTAATAGAGAGCATGACGAATGGTATATAAAGTGTGATACGTAGCAGCGATGTAACTAGATTAAAGGATTAGATAAGGGCCTGAAAGTAGGAGACGGAGGACTACGAAGAATATGTTTTGAGTGTGATTTGTACCTTTCTCAGTGCAACTCGGATGTGTACACCGGGATAGGGCCTGCCATTGTAGTAATCCTTTGTTGTGCGATAATATCTGTAATTTCTGCAATTTTTATAATTTTTGTAATAAGGACTAGAAAGCAAGAGACTGAGGATAACGAGGAACACGTTATGACTGTGATTCGTAGCCTTTCTCAGTGCAACTCGGATGTGTACACTAGGATAGGGTATGCCATTATAGTAATGTTTCTGTTGTGAGGTAACTTTGTAATTTGGCAATATTCGTTGTGACTTTCATCTGGATTATATGCGACTCGTACGGGACTAAGGGCAGGTAAAAAGAGTCAGATTATTTCGAGATGTGTATATATGTGTTCACTGGGATATGCCCCGTTTCTGTTTCTGTTTTCTGAAAAAGTTATAGTACAGTGGCTGACGAGGTAACAAGTTTTAGGCTGGAGGGACCAGTTTTGTAAACCGCGGACCAGGTACCGGCTCTGTCCTAGGATAGACCCATTTTCGAGCCACGTGAAACGACACAACATGGGAATTAGATTGACGGGACTGGTACTGACTGGAACTTTTTCAGGCCTAGGAAGGGATGAAATGTACTAGGGTAGTTGTAGGTTTGGGGAATATAAGCGATTACTGTGTTCTCTCCCATCTTTTCGGGTCTGACGTTGACGAAGCCAACCCGATGGTTGTTGTGACGTTGACGGCGGTGGGTGAGTGGATTGACGGAGTGGTCGAGGGAGAAKAAGGTTGTTCCCCCCGAAGAAGACCGCGTGGCGGCGGTCGAAACCGGTCGGGGTGCCACTCCCGCCGGAGACACAGTTAGTACACGTGGCTACTGCGTTGTACTTGAGTTTGCAATTTACTTGTGTGTACTTCGCGTATACTTTGTGTATGCTGTCGTGTATATTCTGTGTATGTTGTGTGCGCAGTTGTCGCTTACATACTCGCAATTACATCTACAACATATCCTAAACACATAAGGATACTGTGCAAACAATGTTATATGGAATTCTGATTTTTTTTTTCAACCTAAAAATGTTCAATTTTTAATATAATTCACAACCATATTATTCGAACATGATTTCAACAGGATATCAACTGTTTATCAACAGATTTTCAACT